AGCCGTTGCCAGTTTACCTAGGGAGCAGAGACCTACTTAATCTAAGGCTCACATACTTTCCTTTGAGCACTCTTCTATAAGCCTCTGACCTTGTCACAGTAGTTAATATATGGTTTTCTTTTCCTTAAAATGCTGTGTTTTGGTTGAAGTGTTTGGGAAATCTCAGCTCAATTTAAAAGGCACGTATCTATGTGGCCTCTCTACATATTAGGAAGGGCAGTCTGGGTAATAAACTTAAATCAGGCTTATGACCAGGGCAGGACAGTACAGTTCTGGTGTGCCAGTCACAGGGAAAATGTGGGGAATTCGCTGGTGCCTTTATCTGTGAGATTCATGAGAGGATTTGAAGTGTTTGGGAAATCTCAGCTCAATTTAAAAGGCACGTATCTATGTGGCCTCTCTACATATTAGGAAGGGCAGTCTGGGTAATAAACTTAAATCAGGCTTATGACCAGGGCAGGACAGTACAGTTCTGGTGTGCCAGTCACAGGGAAAATGTGGGGAATTCGCTGGTGCCTTTATCTGTGAGATTCATGAGAGGATTTGAGAGCATTGCTGCAATCCATGTGATGAGATATAAAAGCACCTGGAGGGACTTCCTGCTTGTCACTAACAAAGAATTATGAGAAACTGCCCCCTAGTGAAGGAGCCACAGCAGAGCCTCCATTTTAGGTTGTACCTCAGGGACGCTGTAATTCCTGCCCACTCACTTCCTGTTAATTCCTTCTGCTTTCTGAGGAGGACTTGAAGAGATCTTTTCCCAGATACCTTCTCCAGTCTCCTGATTCTCAGGCAGCAAATCTCACACAGACTCTCTCACCTGGTCTCCTCCACATATTATCCCTAATCCTTCATAGCTCTAGCTGCTGTCCCAGTCTACTGACTAAACTAGGAGAATCTCTTCTGGCAAGGAGGAGCTGGATCTGCTTCAATTATAGGAGCAAGCCATCTTGTGATATTCATACTGTTGCACTTAGCCAATATGGTGATAAGAGCATAATCCCTAAAATAAACATAGTTGTACTATTAAATCTTAAACCAGTATCACTTGATTTTATTCGGTAGTTGGGGCAATTAACAGGCATCTCAAGGAGACCTAAACCAACACAAGTTTCCATACAGGAGAAAATACATACTTTGATTGCTAATGAATTCTGAAAACCACCTCTTCCCCTCCCGCCCCCCCCAAATAAAACCCCTAAAATATCCTAGAGTTGTAGCCTTATGGACAAATCCTCATGTAAACTCAACATACATTTAATTAATTTCATGATTGTAAGTCTCATGATTGTAAGCCATCAGGGCTAATTACTGCAAGCATTTGCCTATCCAGTACCAGGTCCCTTACATACTGTACTTCCCAATTTAAGTGTCATTCCTCTAAATGACACTCTATAGCAAGATGGAGTCTTTCTGTTAAGAGGCTGACTATTCTTTGCTCAACAAACCTCCATATAAATTAATCAGACTCAAACTAAATACAATACACTGGTATGATTTCTAAAATGTGTATATCTAATACATTGTGCTGATGATATTTGCGGCGAAAAAGCCTTGAACGTATCCCCTACTCAACATTCTATGAAGTTCATTATGCATTAACTCATATTTACATGTAACTTTCCTGCTCCAAACAGCATGGGTTTTTTTCCTCCATATTTTCATTTGGACTGAACAGCATATCAAGAACATTGTCACCAAACTATGCAACCTGAAATCAGCTAATGTCAATTAAGAGATATGGTTCAACGCCCAAGGAAGTGCTTCTATAGATGCTCCCAGAAAACCACAATATATTTGATATGCACTCTTCTAATATCACTTGATTTGCGACTGTAAGAGTCACTTGACTACTTGGAAAGGCAAACTCTCTCTCATCCCATGTGATACAACTGATCTTTTGCTTTGGTTCACAAACCAGATACATATCCCATAAGACTTTATTCACACTATAAGGCTGTGTTTTTACAAAATAAAGGCCTGATATGCTGCTCCTTTATCCGGGTTTTATGTCCGGGTAACAAAGCAGAAATTCAGATAAAGTTTAAATAAAGTAACAAGTCAGCTTCATTTTCAGTCTTATGCCACAAGAACTGCTCTCATAAGTAATTCTTCTGGATATACAGCTATTCTGATATTAGCAATACTTGGTATTGAAATTGCTTTCCTGTAATAACAAACCTTTTGTTAGGAAAATAGAAGGGCACTTTTTAACACTGAAAGAGCTTCTGGATGCAAATTTCATAACTGACCCCAAACCCATTGCTTCTCATCTCCCTATCACCCCTCCTAAGATATAAGTTATACAATTATAGTGGAATGTCTCTCAATGAATAATTTGTGTGTTTGATTTTTAAAG